AACCAACATTCAAATATACGCACACTTTTCAGTGCCGTGACGTCAGTGGCAGGCTGGCTTGCCAGTCGAGCGAGCTGCCAAAAAAATAGAATATGCCAATTATTTGTTCCGTGCTGGAGCGCGGGTACTGCAGCGAGCTTCCCAAGCATCCATTTGACACCATGAAACTGCTTCGAATCAGTTTAAAACAAAATCTACAGCCCAAAGAGTGAACCCCTGCCTTCCACTGACGTCACTTTTTCATTGTTGCCAGTAGAGACTTCGAGCTTGAAAAACACGGTGAGGGCCAAAACTGTAAATTCAATAACTTTGCAAAAAAAAACAATATTTTGACCTAATATTTGGGATACTATTTTGGCGATGTTTGTTGGTTAGTTTAGCAAAATTTCAAGGAAATCGGACACAATGAAAAAACCAGTGGAGTACCCCTTTAAGGGCTTCCAAGGGCAAATGAATCACTCCCCCTGCCGGTTCATCTTGTTATAGAAGTATTTCAGCCAGGCTGTTTGATGTAAATTTAAAGAGTTTCACCAAATTTAGTAGTTTGAGGACATGTTGCCCTTTCGTACAGGTACATGCTGTCACTAAATATTGGTGTTTGATGCTATGCCTTCTTTTACAAAGATACTCGAAACTGCCAAACGATCTGTAATGGAGCCAAATTTATGTTAACTGATCATATTTTTACCGTACTGCCTCCGGGATCGGCCCACCTTGAAAAAAAAAAAACACTTACGCCCGCACGGGGGTTCGAATTCGGGACCGCTTGCTTACAAGTAGGGCACCATGTTTTTGGAGTTTATTTTTCATCAAAATCGGAGGGTGTTTTTCTGAGTTTTTTTTTTTTTTTTTTGTCAAAGATTTTATTAGCCAATTCTCCGAAATTCGGGGTTTAATTTCAGTGTTTCCTATTGAAAATAAATATGTAAATAATAACCGGATGTAGACGTATGTCAAATAAAAAATAAAACGCGCTTGTATTGATTAAAATTTCTTCAGTTGAATTTGACGTTCGTGCCATTGCCATTGGCACTCTTAATTTGTGCCACGACAAAAGTCGCACACAAGTGTGGCTTCGATAAACGTCGATACCTTAAAATCAATAAACTGCCAGAGGTAGCCGCAAGGAAGCTCGTAGTCATCCCATCAATCTATCCCGCGGCCGCGCGAGTTGGAGTGGTTGAGGATGTAATAGATAGTTTTAACTGTCCGTTTTCTCTATTTAATACAATCTCTATAGTCCATAGCTTTCACTGTTACCAAAAACATACCTTTTCCTTTCTCTAAATCACAATTTGCATGGCTCAAACTGGAAACCAAAAGAGTGGCTTTTGTCGTGACCGGAATGTACGATGACCTGTTGCCCTGAATCAACCTCGACGAGACAAGAGCAAAACCCCTTTTGACAACGGTTGACCGTTGTCAAATTGACCAAAATTTTACCAGCGGGTGTTTTTAGCAGTTTTTCGGATTTGTCCGAAAACACGGAGCCCTACTTACAAGGCAGACGTCTTAACCACTACGCTACACTCCAGCGTTGCATGTAGCCGTTGAACGTCTATACAGGAGGACGCTGCAATCAAATGTGTATATAATTGCGTAAAATTTGCAACGATTGGCTCAACGTTTATAGACGAGAGGGCGCTGCGGTCAAATGGTCAACTGCGTATATAACCACGATCCATACCACACATTCTCTTTCTGACATGGACCGTTGACTTAAGCAGGGGTGGAACGGCTGTGTATTTGTCTGCGCCGTCCTGCGCCATGTTGCGGAAACTGCGCCACAGCCAACACCTCGCGCCATTATGCACCAAATCGCAAAACGCGCGCCAGAAAAAAAAATAGTATTTTGTGTTGGTTTCGGTTTTTATCGACTCGATTGGCACCAATGAGCGCGTTTAGCTTGGTCGACCTTGCAATCCTTTGTTCTGTTTATTCTCCCTGTGTATCCCGAGTCGGAAGCGCTCGAAAAAACTCGGTGGTCGGATTCCAAGCGCTACACCACCTGCGACTGGATTGTTATTCTTCAACCATTAGCGGTGAAAGGGATGCTGAATCAAAGTTTTGGTTGTAGAAAGCAACGTGGAAGCACTAGGCAGGGCTCAACAAACTCGGCAACATCATTCATAAAGCGATCTCTCCAACAGATGGTCGTATTTTTGTGGAAGAAGAGCGGGCTTGAACAAGGCTAAAAAAGGCTGTGTCGTCGCGATTCCCGTTTCCTCCTCTCCTCGCTTTGACTCCGCGAGGACGCGAAGAGCGAAGGAAGCAGGGCCGTTTCCTTCTCCTAAGAATTCTGCAGGAAACGCGACGTCGCGATTCTCACTCAATCGCATCCTTATTTTAGAAAAATATGGCCATTCGTTCGAGATATCGCTTTATGAGTGTGGTGTCTTGGGGTTTGTAGCATCCCGTTGAACACCCCTGCTACCTTATTTTGTGAAATCCAAATTTCGGTTCAGCATCCCTTGAAGAGAGTCGGCCGAGGTGAGGTCGAGTCGTTAAGCGCCAGATTGCCTAAGGCTCTGGGGCCCGGGATCCCCAGTTGAAAACAAAACAAACAAACCTTTTAGTACTTCATCATTAGAAGTTGGAACCGCATTCCTGCAAGATAAATCGTGATTTGATAGAACTGAAGCGCGGTCCGATCCGAAACCTTGCCGGCCTGCAGCTCTCACGTAAGCGGTGATAGATCTGCTCGGCGTACTTTAACCTTGCTATTGCTTACCGTTTAGAATAGGATAACTCTGTTAGTCGTAGTCTGCTGCTTCGATATTGAGTTGCACAATAGATAAACTCGAAATTTGTTGCCCTGTTCCTCTGCGCAACTGCACGTCCATTGCTTACGCACGTCACGAGGTTCGCACATATAATTACTATGTCGAGCACGTGTGGGTTGTGCGATAAGCAGTGCTGGTTTGTATTTTGAGCAGCTGAAAGCCACTCAAAAATTATCAAGGACACTATCTCCAGAAACATGTGGTACTTGCTTTTTGGTTCTCATTATGGCTCACAAAGTTTCAAGTTTTCGCATCAGTTACGCTGTTATCCAATCTACCTAGATCCCTAACCACTCATGTTCATCTGTGCTGCTAAGCACAATTGAAATTGCTCCTGTGCTTGTCTAAGACACAAGCTGAGGTGCAATGAAAGTTGATCTGAGCTGCTCCTAGCATGCTCCAAAATGTAGTTTTAGCTGCTCCCAACCTGCTCCAAAACAGCTGTTTCAGCTGCTCCCGTGGCTGCTCCCGTGGCTGCTCCCAAGTACATTTCATGAGTTCCACCCCTGCTTAAGCGGTGGAGATGCGTTCCCACGGCTTCTAGCGGATCCAGGCTGATCCGCTAGAAGAATTACTGGCTTTGCATTTCACCGACCATAAAACAGTAATAATGAAGTCGAAACGCAACCCGGAACTTAGCGCTACCTATGAGCAATAAAAAAAAAAAAAATCAGCACCATCAGCACTACCTATGAACAAAAAAATCAGCGTCATCAGCACCACCAGAGCTTCGCCCCAATCAACATCATTCATCACTTGGAGATGCTGCCTCTTTTTTTTGCTTTGATCTCTCAAAATAACGATGCCCGATGGTTGTGCCGCAAGCGAGTGCGATGTTGGCAACGACTTGTAAGGACAGGTCTTTTTCGGTGCCAGACAACCTTTCAGATTTTAAGAAGGTTTTAGTTGGAACATTCGCAGAGGAAGATCCCGAGGAGGATGTCGCCGAGTCGTTGGTACTTTCTCCTGCTTTAGACTTGTAGCCCTTCGACAACACGAACTGGTAAGGTGGCGTTCCATGCACCAAGCAGTTGTCCTGCCGGTATCTCCCCCGACCATTCCTTCTTCTCTGCTTCATTCTTTGGAAGCCTGTGTAAAGCGGTGGCAATCAGTTCATCAAATGACGTTTCATCGACAAATCAATTCATCGACAGCTCAGATTAGCCTTGTTCTCTGATAAGCTGCATGAGGCTGTCGCCGCGAAGCGGCCTATATGGGCCGGTCGGGTGGATTAACATTTTTGTAATGAGCCGTCGCAGACTGTCGCCGTGCAGCAGCGTGAACGCAGGCAGAGGGGTTGGTTGGTGCGCACCCCAGTGAGACTGTCGTCGTGCAGCGGCGTGAACGCAGGCAGAGGGGTCGGTTGGTGCGCACCCCAGTGACACAGACGGGACGAAATGTCCCTACAGCGTGCAATTCACATCAGAGTGTCAATGAAACCATCGGGTCAAAGAAACATGTGTCCATGAAGAGTTGTCCACGGAACGTAATTCCACGAAACGAGTTTCGACGAAATGATAAGGACCGTGTGTAGAGGCGCACTTTCTAATGTGCCAGTGCTTGACGCAGCACCAACACGAAATTGCCCCTCACGTCGTTCCTCAAACTCTGCTACACCTTGTCTTCAACTGCACCGCTTTTGAAAGTGTTATGGAAAGCCTAGGCAGAATCGGTAGACCAAGAATATATCAAAGCTTGTGACTGGCACACCGTCTGCTTATGCACGTGTTGCCGGTGCACAGCGAAATTCAAGAGCGAGTACCTGATTGATGAGGAGAAAAGAGGGAAAGACGAACGACATGTCCAATTAAAGGGCAACGGAGAAGAATATGCTCCAAACTAGCCTTGATGTCACTGAGGGCGCGGGAACTTCACGCTCGCCTTTCTGAAAATATTTTTTTCTCTGCAAATAACCTAATTCCAGGCCTAAAATTTTCAGGGTGATGTCTAAGTATCATGTCCAATTGTTTGGTAAATTAAAAGAAATGCATTTGGGGGTGTTGATGCCCCTTTAAGCCGGGTGGCACAAGCTATCGCCCATTACTAAACACAGGCATTCTGTTTCCTCTAACATCCGTCACTCTAATCTTGAAATGGCAAAATTTTGGGTGTGTTTCATGTGTGTGGTCCTCATAGCTCTTTGGTTAGCTTTATCAGTTTGGAGGCTGTGCTGGCTTTCTTCTTAATTACTCTCATTCCTCTTTTTGTTTATTGCAGGCACCTCAAGTGATCCCCTGAGTCCTTCATGATCTTACGAGACTCTTTACGAACCTGACTGCTGGCAGCTATTCATATGGAGCTGATGCCATCCTCGTGTCATAGTAAGTCGTTCCTTTCAACTTGTTTTATAAACAAAAAATGGTGTCGATATCTAGGCCACGACCCTCTCTATACCTGGGACCACGTCAATGAGCTCTCCATACGGGGAGCCTGCTCCAAGTTTAGTCTGTGTGCCTCTCGCCAGGTGGCTCTTAAACTCTGTGCACCTAGAGCACTATATAGCTCGTTTGGAGCAGAGTAGCGCAATCTAGAATGTCATCTCTCGGCGACTAGCGGCAAACACCCGGAGGTTCCAATTCCAGTTACAAATGCATGGGGAACTCAAGAAAATAATTTTTTCTTCAATATTTTGGGAATGTACAAAATTGCAATAATTTTTAACATGATAAAAGAACATTTCACAATAATTTGTGCTAAGTGGTGTACTACTTAAAGGGGCACTCAAGTGGTTTTTGAGTTCGTGTTTTGATGATGACAACTGAATCTAGACGCCCTAAGTATCCCTAAAAACCAAAAAAATATAGTCACACGGTGATTATTTCTTTAATAAAAATGTAATTGAAGGCCGCCAAACCTTGGATCCATCCGAAAAGGAAACCACTCTCATTGGTCATCGCTCGCATATCAAAACGATCTCGGGCCAATGGCGTTGGACGACGTTCCGTCGCGCAGTGATTTCGAGGTAGCCGCACCGGCCGAACGTGGGTCGAACTCTTTGTCATTCGAGCTTCGATCATGGCGGAGTTCTCTACGCTCGAGGACCTGATGCCGTTAGAGTTTGACATTCTTCGGCGGACAGCCGACCTGGGGATGATTTCCTATGACGCCACTCCGACGTACAATGTGCACGATAGCAGCGTTTCGGTGTCGTGTTCGGGTTCCGAGGCAGACGAAATGCAGACCTTTTCGGGCGTTCTTCGATTTGCGGTTGGGGCAAGCCGTAACCAAACAGACGTTTGGCATCGCAGCGTTACCTCTAGTATGTGATGTCAAACGATGTCGCCACATTGACTTTCGCCTCGGGAGAACAAGGAAGGCTGGTTCAGACATTTGCAACGAGCGCGTTACCTACGATTGCGTTCGTTGCAACCGGGGCGACCAGAACGACCGCTCTGCGCCGCGCGTACACACACTTGCAGCCACTGCAACAAGCGCAGCGGGTCGTCGGAACGGCGACCGCTTCTACACCGCCGTCAGCTGTTTCACCGGCGCCTTTAAAAAGGGGACGCACTTACACTCAATGCCATAACAGAATATAGACAGACAGTTTTCTAGACTAAAGCTTTATTATCTTTTTTTTTTTCATTATAGGCTTGCAGGGTACAGTGGATGAAAAAAAAAGAAAACGCTGCAGAACATGGCATCTTGGACGATCACGACTCTAATACACGACTTTGCCAGTAGTACAAATATCGCCGCACGCCTTTTCTACGATTATAAAAGACGATGTAATCTTAGCAGCGATATAGCAACGTAGAAATATGATTTTGTGATCAGATAGACGTTGCGAGCGTTCAGGATTGCTGACACTAATCACTTTTCTCCGGTGATGAAAACGCGTGAAAATTCGCTACTTTTATACGGTACGCACCAATAATACCTTGAACTTGAGCACACGCATGAAATGCACCAAATAAGAAATCCAGGCGATGTTCGAGGGCACAAATGCTTAGAAAGCACCTCTGTAGTCGAAGTAAACAAATACGACGGCACGGGCGTTTCTGCTGTCTTGAGAGTGCCGCAACGACATCGTCGCACGAGTAGGTGGATCTTCCCTTCTAGTATGTGCTGGGTTATCATAGCGACACACGACGAAAATTCAGTCAAGGATAGCGCTTTTATGTGGAACGATGAACTTTCACCACGCTGTCCACGTCGACAATCACCAGCGACGCCATGTTTGAATGGCGTCGGTGGGGGGAAGGAGCTCATGATACGTGCGCTTCCGCGCATCCCGAGGGAACGGGAAATTCACCCCCCGCGGAGGAAGGCAAGGCGAAAACGTAGTCCCTTGTTTGTGAAACGATGATTGTAGTATCGCGTATTCTAAACTAGAACTATTTTACGTCTTGTGAAATTATCATGGACAACATATCTAAATGAACTGAAATTTGTTTCTTTAGCGAAACTTTACAAAGGCCGCCAAAATTTTCAAACATACAATCATTTCATTGGTCGGCGCAGGAACGGAAAAGAGTCCGCACATATTTTATTCCTGCGTGATTAATAGGCAGTTCTGCTTCCTAAAACTGAAGATACTCATTTACTGACACTTCCTTAACGCCATCGCACCAAAAAGTAGCTTCCCCAAAAACCACTTGAGTGCCCCTTTAAAGGGGCAGTGCAACAATTTTCAGACTTTGTCCAATTAACTGCGGAAATTAATCTGCGTCACCTATGGAACGAAAAACCGAAAGTCGCATTTTCTTGCGACCGCTAGTTCTTATTTAAAAAAATTTAACAAAATCGAAGGTCGAAGTGCCTCCCAACTCTCCACGCCGACTTTCGAGTGACGTCTCTGGGGGTTCACGTGGTCACCCCTTGGGCCTTCTCTTCAGAGACCCCAGCCGCTTCCTCCGCGATTGTCGACTTTCAAAGGATTAGCCTCGTCGAAGGTCGCGGCTAGCGATAAACACAAAGGACGGTTCGCCACGGGGCTGACGGCGAGTGTAGCAGCGGAGGGGGACAGGGTTTGTTGACTTCCGCGTATCCCCCAGAGACACCGTCATTTTAGTTCCCGTAGCCGCCACCGGTGGCTGCAGATCGGCAAATAATTCCTCTTTGCCTTGCGATTACGCAGCAGAATAGCCGTTTTTTCGGTAAAGGTGACACGTTTTTGGTCACTTGGGCTTGTATAAACAATATAAAAAATGCAAACTGGCAATTCTTTCAACATTAAAATCGTTGCACTGCCCCTTTAAAGGAGCAGTGCAACGATATTCAATTGGAATGTTTTTCACTTGACACGAGCTTACTGGCACACCTGGGACTCAAGAATACTCACACGCAACGCCACTGGCCAAGAAACTCCTTTGTTGTGGTGTAATTTCAAGGACAAAAGCGATCATTTTCATTTAATCTCTCCTTTGCAAAATTTGATGATGTAACGTGGGGATCGCAGTACACCCAAGTGACGATATTTGAATGCGGTTCATAGATTGGACCTGAGCATTGCGTGGGCACTCGACTTGGGCTCGTGATAATTGCTAGCTCGAGAAGCATTCGGGTAGTGACCCGTGTCCAATCGCTCCAACGACGACAACAGCCGAGCCAAAACAATGTCTGGAACTCAGCGCGTGTCCTGCGCTTTGCCAACCCCAGCGCGTGGCTATGATCAACACTGGCGGCATATAATCGGCTCCAGATCACGTGGCCGCTTGTTCTGGCTGCGAGTTGAGGGAGTGAACGCTGCTCGTTTTTCTTTAATTTTTTTCTGGGACCTCTATTGCGTGGGGTGAAAAACGAACGCGTGTTTCATAGGTCATTAACATTAGGGATCCGTTTTAAGCGGTATTTGCGCAAAGTACAAAAATTGTTGCATCGCTCCTTTAAGAACGTGATTTAAAAAAAGAAAAAAATTGCCTGAGTGGCATTATGCAGCAGACGATGCTGCGCAGTGGAGGACCATTGCTCGGAAGCAACTATAAAAATATACAAACGACGTGCATCTACGATCTCTCGCGCTGTATGGAAAATGCGCGAGAAAAACGTTGCACCGTTCACGTGACCTGCTCCGGGCAACTCAAAAAGTCCATCTCCGCTGCGTAAAAAACACTTGTCTGCTTCAAACGCCATTGCCTTGGAAATTGCCTTCTCAAAATTTTCACACGCATCCAGTATTATGAAAACTTTGATAACGTGTTTAGTAGGGATGGGCGAATATTCGGTTATTACGAATAGCCAATCGAATTCTGTTCTATTCGGCATTCGCTTCGAATCGAATTTAAGTATTCGACAATATTGAATTATTCAACAATATCGAATTATTCAACAATATCGAATTATTCAACAATATCGAATTATTCGACTTCTGTTCTATTCGGCATTCGCTTCGAATCGAATATAAGTATTCGACAATATCGAATTATTCGACAATATCGAATCATTTGACAATATAGGAATATTCTTCCTTCCTAAATACAGTCAACCCCGACTATATTGAACCCGTTTACATCGAATTATTTCTTACATCGAGAAATGTTTTTGCACATTAATGTTACAGTGATAATATACAGCAAAAACAATGGTTGCATCGATCAAAAATAGCAGCCGTTACCGATATATCGAACTGCCAACGCGCCGTTCTGCTCTGCAAGCTGGCTTTCCCCCAACGGGATAGCGGCCTCCCCCAACGAGTGGCCGCATTGGGGGAAAGCCAGCTTGCAGAGCGGGCTGGCTTTTTTTTCTGGGCGGCCGCGTTGACCACAGGGAAGAAAAGAAAATATAGCGGAGAGAAGGTGCTCCGTGGTACCTCTCCCCACTCCATCCACAAAAGAGAATATATTTTTTTTCTTCGAGGCGGTTGACGCGGTTGCCCGGAAAGAGAAACAACAAAAGAAGCCAGCTTGTTCTGTTAGCTGGCTTCCCCCAACGCCACCACCCTGTTGTAGGCGAAAGCCAACTTGCAGAGCAAAACCGCGCTCTGCAGGAGAAGGTGCTCCGTGCTCTCGGCATAGTTCGGCGCTAATGCGCGAATATAGAAGGTTGCGGCCTCGGCATTTTTGGAGTCCGTCGATAGCGTAGAAATATATCGTTATCGCGGATGCAATGAAGAAAAAGCAGCAGAAGATGCAAGACTACTTCATTGTGTAATATTTCAGCAGAAAGTGAATTTTTGAGAGTCAAATTCATTAAAACTTTTATATCTAATAACCCGCTGTATCGAACTGGTAGGTGTTTTCTTGCGAGTTCGATATAAACGGGTTTGACTTACTCTGGCTTGGATTTCCGACCAGGTAGTGCAAGCTTCCGACCGTTTTGACCATTCCGTGCTCCTGAACTCAATACACTTGAAATTAACAATTACAGTACTTCTAATACCAAATAAGGGCAAATATAAAACTACAGTTTAAACATATCTTGTGGTATTTGTTGCTTGTACTATTCGAACTATTTGATTCAAAATTATTCGGCCAAAATCACTATTCGCTTCGAATTCGATTCAAACCTAAAATCCTCTATTCACCCATGCCTAGTGTTTAGTGCTTTACCAACTTCACGACAGATTAGTTTCAGAAAGTGTGAACTCTGTGTTCATTTTTTAATCGGGCGCCTCCTGCAGTGGTGGAATTGCTGTGCCATTTGCGCCGAAATGTGCCAGAATGAGCAACCTGCTACATGCTGCTTCAAAGGCTATATTTGTGCCCAATTAGTGCCATGTCTGCGCCAAAAGGGAGCTGTTCTGGAAAAGGAAACTGAAAGAGTGGCACACGGCATTCTTGGCGATGCCACTGAAAATGAAGAAGGCGCTGTTGTTGTATTTTCGGATGCCTAAGTACTATGTGCAAGGAGTAGAGCTAGTTTCAAATAATACTCTATTTGATATTTGTTCAAAATTAACTGCAATATTCATATTTTTCAAAGTTTTGATCACGGCGGGTTAGCCCCCTTGAGTGCACTTCTCCTCAAGCGCCAATGCTCTGCGGAGTAGCAATACCCACAAAGGCTGACACCGCGACCTCGCGGCTCGCTTCGCCGCAGCGCAGCCGAGCATTTAGGCGAAGAACATACCTTCAAAGAGGTACAATGCATGCGCGCGTCTGGTGTGATGAAAAAGAAACCGTGATTGTTGATAATCACATTGCAGTAAAATCTTCAAAATTCAACTGCAGCTATTATGCGAGGGTATATGTTAGGCAGCGACGTTCGAACAAACTGTGTTCATTATTTGTGCTTGTTTTGTTTTAATTCAGGAACTGAGAAAATATTTTCATATAGCAAGAAGATTTATCATTCCCCCTCGTTTAGGTGTGTCAAATCTGTCATTTGCTTGCCATCCCAATGTAGGTATTGGACTGTCTGAAGCCACAGTCTATAAATATAGCTAGATTAAATTTAACAGAGGTCATAAGTGGGCAATAAGAAGCTTGGGAAAAAGCTTGACAAGTTGAGCTGAATATCTGTTTAAGCATGGTGTAACAGTAGTGAAAGGCATGGGGAAAGGTGCAGCAGCTGTTCAACATTCAATCAAAAAATATTGGGCCAAAGCATCTACTCTCTCATCTCTGAGTGCAGAATAGTTACTGTGAAATCGGAAAATGAAGGCCATGCCGAGACCAATATTCAAATAAACACTCACTTTCCAATGCCATGACATCACTGGGCTTGCAGGTCAAGCAGGCAATCTTAAAAAAAATGAGTACGCTGCACATTTGTTTTGTTCTGCTGCCCGAGCTCTGGAGCAAGCTTCCTACGCATTCATTTGATACCTTTAAACTTCTTGTAATCACGGGGAACCAATTCTACTAGCCGAAGAGTGAACCCTTTTGTGCCACTGGCAATAAAATTTGATTGTTGTCGGATAATACGTTCAGTCTCAAAGAAAAAGCTGAGGACCTAAATTTTAAAAAGGAACAAACATGGAAAAATATATTATTTTGGCTTACTATTTTGGTTACGAGTTCAGCTGTCTGTTGGTGAGTTTACACAAATTTGAGGAAAATTGGATAAAGACGTCGGAGTGCACTTTTTAAAGGTGTGCATTGGTGTGGTCTGTCTGAAAGCAAGGGAACACATGTTCCAGCGCACAGTCCTTGCCCCTGTTATGGGAACCGTAGAGTTTACAAAGATACCTGAAAACTTGTCATGTGTAAAATGATTGTAATCGGCGTTTAAAGAAAGGCTAGGACTGCTCCGTGTCCCCTGCATCTATATGCTCTGAGCCCACAAGTGTGTGCTCCTCACTAGCCTCTCATCTTCCTTGTGTTCTTCCACAGTCAGAACTAAAAAAAAACTAACAAAACAAACATACCTTTAGGTGTAGCACAGATCACCACGAGAAAATTATGGCATATTGAAAGGCATTGTCAGAGGAAAACAGGAGTCAGCAAACCTGTGCCAAAATTGATGAAATCTGAAATCAAAACCCACGAGTAATTACTACCGCTAGCTGGTGGCACGCTTTCCCTCAATTCTGCGTGGCCACAAAGCCCAATGCACTAAAGGAGGCACAGCATCACCGACCAGCAAAATAATTATTAGGAGCATTTTCGTGAATCAAAATAAAAAGGGCAGTGAGATATTACCTGCTCAGCTGAAGCTTTACTCCAACCGTGACTACCAATTTTTAATCCCAGTTGCTAACTTGGCAGGGCTTTCCTTGTGTGCCCAATTTGAGACAAGGCCTTCCTTTTTTTCTTTAGGTGATGGAGCAGCACCATTGGGAGAGTCCTGCTGCCCACTGAAAGCCACTGAGGACATCTGGTTTATATGCTGTTTCTGCACCTATATCACCAAAGATCAGCATGCAATCGTGAGCCACCTGGTTACCCACGATGATGAAGAATTCAACTGCCAGCATCCTCCCATGTCCTCTGACTCCAGGCCCAAAGTGCATAGTAACACTCAGCACACAGGTGATAAGTTGTTAGAGTGCAACCTGTATCCTCATGCCTTTGCTCAGAAAAACAATCCGATTGACCTCATTCCAATAGGCATAGCTAAAAAGCCATACAAGTGCAAGCTGTGTCCGCAAGCCTTTACTCTGTATTGTGATCTGGTAAGCCATAATCAAACACACAAGGGGGAAAAACCTTACAAGTGCAAGCTGTGCCCCCAAGCCTTTGCTCGGAATGGTAATCTGGTAAGCCATAATCGGACACACACTGGGGAGAAACCTTTCAAGTGCAAGCTGTGCCCCCGAGCCTTCGCTCGGAATTCCTTTTTGAGGGTCCATAATCGAACACACACTGGTGAAAAACCTTATAAGTGCAAGCTGTGTCCCAAAGCCTTCTCTCAGAATTGCCATCTGACATACCATAGTCGAACACACAGTGGTGAAAAACCTTACAAGTGCAAGGAGTGCCTCCGAGCTTTTGTTGACAATAGCAATTTGCTACGCCATAAACGAACACATGATTGTGAGAAACCTGAAGTACAAGCTGTGTTCCCAAGCCTTTGTGTGGAATTACCAGATGACCTGCAATGATCGAGCACACAAGTGAAAAACCTAAAGTGCAAGCTGGGTAATACTTTTGCTCTTGGTTCAAGTTCCTTTCCACTTGCTCGAGATGTGCTCCTTTGAAGTGTGGTTTAATGAGTTTGTAAAAATGCCTTAGTGTTTTATTACTTACTCCTATCTATGTAGATGTAACCTTGCAAAAAAAACATGTGACTAGAACTTGGTTTTACTGTTTTGCTATAGAAAGAAAAAGGCTGGCAGTTTCAACTTTCAGACTAGTTTCTATCAGCTGTTGCAGGTTTTGCTACTGAAGTGTGTGTGGACTTAGAGTCATCTTTTTAGAGGTTTATATTTTGACGTCCTGTACCATGCTATTATCTCAATTTAGCAGTTAGCTTAGCGTGTATGCATCACAGCACTTTAAACACCCCCTCTCCTCAGCAGGTTTTGCAATAAAGTGACATTTTACCAATTTTTAATATAGCTTGAGATGCCTTTTCATGACTGCATTGATGAATGGTGCAGTGAACGTGGAACTGACGTTAAAATGCTCAAAGTATCTTCGCCTTCCATTTCTGCACTGGGATCTCTGTTACCATGCGTCGCACGACGAACCAAATCGCTATTTTTGTCCGCGGATCGTGTACCACGTGACCGTCACACCATTGATTCCTACGATCAGCGCCTCGTCCGCGGACGCGCGGACTGATAAAGTTGAGCTCCTTTTCACTCGCAGATTTTAGGCAGGAGATTGACTTGAAAAGCGTTTATTCTGGAAACGGTGTAATGTTTTCTAGGTATTTTTGTTTTGGACGGTCAAACAAAAGTGACGCATCGTTGTTTTGTCTGTTCACTGGTTCGTTTTGTCGCACGATTCTTGATTCCACGCGTGAAAGAAACTTCAGAAACTTCCGGCTGGTGCGATGCAGGTTCTGGTACTCCTCTGGGGCTGTGTCAAGAAGCTCCTGTCAAAACTCGTTTAGCACGCCGCAACAGTTGCACGTCCAATCAGGCTCACCAAGCGAGACATTTCTTGTGGCTGTAAAGTACTTGAGTGATCAGGACCGTATATTGGGAGAGTCTGGCCAGTGGATGTAACGACGAAGGTGCGGGAGAAAAGAAAAGTGAAGGAAAGGGAGGAGAGCGCCAAAAAGGCAAGAGAGAAAGAAGGGAGCAGGGACGGACCGCCATTTTGACGCAACGCTGTTGGCGCAGAGCACTGTTGAGGCCGTGCTCCGTCTGCTACAGGCTGACTTCTTTTTCACCCGAATAAAAGTTTGTAGCTAGTTGTGTTAAAAAAACTTAATTTCTTAGCCTTTTAACCCATCGAGGATTACCAGCATATCATTTTCTTGCCAGAGCCAGCGATATAAAAGTAAATAACTGCCGATCCCATGCATTGCATTCCACCGGCCGAGTGAATGAAAATGGCGGCCCTCCCTGCTCAGCTGGGAGCTGCCAACATTACCTAAACAGCTTTCAAGCCTGCGCGTCACGTGACAAGACGTCACGTCCGAGAGGTCAACACGGGCGCTGATTGGATGCGAGTGTCGCGTCAGCGCGTGAGACTATAGCCTCGTTTACATGAAAACGACTTCAGCGCATCGACTCCACTCATTCTTTGAACGAAGCCGATGCAGTAATGTTTACATGAATGCGCACCGACCCCTACACCAGGGGTTCCCAAACTGGGTTCCGGGGAACACGGGTTCCACGAGGTGGTCTCATGGGTTCCGCGAACACCCAAATTGCTATCCCCCCCCCCATGCCGCAGACTGCCCGGCAGGACCATGCAAAGCACCTTCATCTCACTTTGTACTGACATTGTGATTGATATGATGGGGATATGTGGGAAGCAACACAAGCAAAATTGCCTGCAATTGTGCGTCTGTTGCTTCTCGGTCGGCAAATATGGAGGGGGAAGGGGGTTCTGCGGCAGTTTTTGAGGCTTCCTGGAGTTTTGCGATGCCAAAATGTTTGAGAACCCCTGCCCTACACGAAGGTGGCGTCACGCCGTGTCAAAGCTCGAAGTTGTGCACTTCCGGCACCAGCCGCACCACGTTTTACGGTGCGTCGCATTTGGAGGCCTTTCGACGCGTTCAGTGAACGTAAAAATCGTGCCCGCTCTCTTCGGTGCTGTGGAAGAATTTACGAAACGGAAAAAACATCAAAACCCAAGCGTTTAGGGCTCCAGGCCGGGCCGCCGGGTCACTCTGGACCAGAGGCGACGTGTGTGCGCACGCTTTGAGGAAGCCTCCGCGCTTCGCTGCGCCAGACCTCACCAATCGCGGCCGGACCAACCGGACCCCGAGTCCGAAAGGCTTCTGCGCAGCCAGGAACGGCACCGAGGTAGGAGCTGCTCGTTCTGCACTACCATGCAGTGCTCTACAGTGCTCAAAGCTCTCGGTGTCGTTCGTGCTTGCGCCGATGCCTTTGGGACCCCTTCGGACGTGCAAGTCCTACTTTGCACGGCTTGGACGGAGCCCGCCCTCACCGAGCAGCTTTCCTATATTCCGCTTACTTATGAAGGCAATAAAAGCTCGCGTTTGTTCTCGGGAAAAAATTGCAGGCGACCATACGGGACCGCTCATCGTGCCGCCGCCATGTTCTCAGTTGTTCACTCGCTCCCGCAGCGAGCGCCTTCCCATAATCCTCCCCGTTCCAAAATGCGATGCAACCTCCGTTTACACGGGCTGAATGAATGCGCACTCGCCATCTTGGTCCACCTTTGTCTAGCGACTTGAATGCGATGCATTTCCTTTGCGCATAATGCCGTTTACATGACTGCATTGAAAAAAGATTGGATGCGACTAAGTCTCATTCATGTAAACGCGGCTTATGAAAGGAAACAAGCTCCACACAAACACTGACACAGCACTCACATAGAATCAGCGCCCGTGCAGGCCTCGCGGACGTGACATCATGTCACGTGACGCTCGAGGGTTTTTGTCTAGGAGGTGTTGAGCAGCTGGGAGTTTATGCACATGCGCTCACGCCTCTCGCTCTGCGCCGTCGGCTGAATGGCTCACTTGGGAGGGGGGCATTACGGCGGCGAGATGGCCAAATTCTTCATATACGGCTCTGTGAGTGATCTGCAGAAGCGGGGAGTCCATGAAGGCATGTCCAAACGCCCCTCCACAAGCCCGGAACTTCGTTGCTTCTATGCCGAACCCTTCTCGAGGAGGACCATGCCTGTGTTACTGTCAGGCCTTGGGTTAGTAAAGCTGGTGGCGCTTCGTGCGAAGCCTATCAGGGTGTTTTGTCTCTATCTGTACATAATATCTGTACATAACAGCAGTGTATGATTCTTTATCACAGTACAGTGATGTGATTGCTGCGCCAAACTGCGCCAAGGGGCTAACCCTGCTACATCCTGCTACATTTTGCCAAAATATGAGTAATCTGCGCCAAGCCTGCGCCAAAGGTCCAATTTCGGTCGCCTTTCAAAACCGAAACTAAACTAAGAACGTAATTGAGCATGTGTCAGCTAGGTGGCGCAAACGGCCCCCGACAAAAAGTACACTGCATCCATCCGGTCTTGCATGGTTTCTGCCGCCGTCTCGCGCCTCGTCGTCTCGGGAATCTCGTCTCCCGTCTTTTTTAAACTTTTTCAACGATAGACGTGGGCGTGTGCGAACGCTCCGACGCTAGTGTGCCGGGCGCCAGACATGCCGTCATGCTGTGAAACAAAACCACGTTTTTGCGCGACGAGAGTTCCTTTGTGAGCTGAAACGCTGGTCGCGCGACGTCGGGTGTTGTGTCCCCGCGTCTCTGCAGATAAGGTGCTTTCTAAACTTGTTCATCGACATTCCTGTCCTTGTTTAAATCATACTCTACTACAAAAACCCCTCTATAAAGGGATACTACAACGAAATATCGCTTATCTCTTGGTCTATTCGTGTGCAAGGGATCACTATCACATCAGACACATCAAGCTCTTGTTGAAAAAGACACGAAAAGGAATTTCAAAATGAATTAAACGATTAGCAAAGAGCACCTGGTGGTTCTCGCTAACGCCTCGTTTGTAATGCCCGTCTAGGAACCTTGCCAGGTAGTGACGATAACTGTCCCGCCTCCGGCCACCACAAGAAAAAAGGGAAAGAGGAGCTCCCCTTCTCCCGAGAATATTCTTTGTGTCTCCCAGAAGTTGCTATTGTCCCTCTACAAGACTATAAAAGATTAACCCGTCACTCAAAATTCGTACAAAAGCAGCCGCTTTGATGGCTGGAACCGTTAGGACATCTTCTCGACATCAGCCTCGCCGAAGCTTTGCTCGTTCCGAGACGAACTACGTCACGATTGCGTTGGGTGTCACATGCTCTCCGCTGGCTGTTCTCCGAGCGCTTGTCAGAGTGGGCCGTTTGTAACGAAAAATACAGCCACAAGGCTCAAAATACAAACGTGCAATTATCATTTACGGATATTGTGGATCATATTCAACCTATTTCTGCACACGACGGGTGTTTTTCAAATTTCCTTGAAGTGTCCTTTTCATTCAAAAACCGCTTGTCTAAATAATAATTACCTAGGTTTCTCTCGGTGGGCTTTTTTTCGAGAGGGACCCCGGTACGTAAAAAATCTGCCACGAAAGGAAGTCGGTGAAGAGAAGTGAGCTAAAGGAAAGAAGGCAGTGTCTGCACGCTGAACCCGCAAAGCGCGCTTGTTTGTCTCGAGTTCAGTCGTTCCACAAAGCGCTCCAAGAAATGTTTGACCCTGTCTCGCGATGTCTTGCATCGATGCGCTCAGGTTCTTTCCTCCTGTGTGTTTAGCTTGTACCTCACCTGCCGGTCTGGCAAGCACGCGCCGCTGGAGTGTTGTTTTGTCGTATGCTGGACAGTTACATTTTGTATACTATTTTGGGAACCAGTTGTCGACAGAGTGGAGTGGCATTGTTCCGATTTCGATTGAACAGCCGTTGTCTCCGCTTGCCCGACGAAGCACGTACCACTGCAAGCCTGCTGATGTTGCCCTCACGTGTGCATGTGAACATTAATGCACGACAGAGGCACCAGTCGGGACTTTTGCAATTCATTGTTTTACGTTTGCTTACTTTTGACGAAAATCTGGCACGTCGGGACCCAGTAAAACGGTGGCAAGCGTTCTTTTCGGAATCGCTCGGCAACGCCTACAACACTGTACACTTGTGGGATGTCTCAGCAGTAAAAACTTAAAAAGCGAGTTCCGTCACAACTCAGCACAAAGTGCCCTTCGTTTGTCCAGCACTTAAAACAAAATTTTTTTTTAAGAATTTTTGCTTTAAAAGCTATTTTTGCTGCTCCGAAACACTGTTTTGGTTGCTCCAAAAGCCACGTTTGCTGCTCCAAAGCACTGTTCTGGCTGCTCCAAAGCTCACATTTGTTGCTCCAAAACACTTCTTTGGCTGCTCCAAGAGGTGCTCCAAAATGGCTTAGGCAAATCACATCACTGCAGTAGCAAACGTCGATTTCTCTTGGATGGCGGTGCCACGATGCGATGCTGGAGTTTTGCAGCACTGTGGTGTGGCAAACAGGTCGGTTCTTCCTCGCTGGCATTTGCTTGTCGTCTCCCTCGTGTGGATGCTTTTGGGAGACGGACGAACCACGGACATGGTCATCACGTGATCAATCCGTCCGCGGATAAGTCCGTCATGTGAATCAGCTATAAGTAGGGTGTGTACTTTCCGGTGTTTATTTGTGAGAAAAATCGGCGGATGTTTTTCGGTGTTTATTTATTTTCAAAACACCGGTGTATTTCGGTGGAACGTCTCACGACGAGGCTAAAAACGGTGATTATCGGTGAAAAAAAAGCGATTGATCACAGACAGAGAGTTCCAATTTTATTCACATAGTTCATACACTTCTTCTCTAGGAAGCAACTATTTTTCGCACTTGGTTATTATAGTAGATGCAAGCATGCTTTCATGCTTGCATCTACACGCAAGGATCGTGCTGCCGTCATGGCAGCGCGTTCCTTGCGGTTCGCAACCCGCAATTAAGAAAACGCACGCTCCTGTACGACACGGACGTTGGCAGTGTCTTCCAGGAACCACAGCAACCTCTGAATACATGGCTTGCCCCGACATCACTTGGCCAGACACAATGTGGAAAAGGCACGTGAGAGCCTACCCTCCACTGTGTTAATTTTTCCACAAAAGGGGGCCATGGGAGACACAATAGGTGACAGGCGTGTGAGAGCTTAGCTTCCACTGCGTTCACCAGACGCTTTTGACCCCCAGAAAGGAGGGCGGACTGACGCCATCTGCAAGCCATGTATAAACACTGGAAGAATGCAGGATCCACGAGATAACACGTTTGACGAACCTCTACGGGGAAAGGGTTTCGCTAGGTCGGAAACTAGCAACGATCGGTGTTTTTCGGTTTTAACCAGGGCGAAAATATCCAACCACCGGTGTTTTTCGGTTTTAACCGATTTTATATTTTCGTCACCGACGGATGTTTCTCGGTGTTTTTCGGTTAAAACCAGAAAATGCACACCCTAGCTATAAGCGACACCCAGCTTTGAGACATCACTTTGGTGTTTAGGTGTTCATAATATGATAATATTTTGTTGCTTTGTGTTCTTGTTGAGTGTTTCTGTATTGCCTGGCCACCTGCATCAGAGTTCTCAGACATAAGGGTGTCATTGTACACCAGGCTATGCCTTCTGTTTATTTTTTTGTGTAACGCTGGATAGTACTTTGGTTCTATATTTTCCTAATGGCAAACATTCTGTTTGCCATTAGGAACTGAATGAAATGGGACAGATCAGTCTCAAGGAATACAAATTGAGCCATGGTTATGCTTGTGTTACAGAGCCCTTTGAATGGTTGCTCAATGTATGTTTATTTTTGTGTTGTGTAATGCATTTGCAAACATTGCTTCATTGCAGTTGTTTCTTTCTTTGTTGTTTTTTTTACTATTGTCTCATTTGTCTTAAGCAAAATCTGCAAATGATAATATTGTAACCAGACTTCTATTTCTCTGAAATAAAGGATGAAATTTCAAGCTTGCACAGTGTTATATATATATATATTTTTTTACAAACTGTTGCAGATTTTTATTGAAGTAAATGTGCCACTTGCAGAGTAGCGCTTGAGAGAGTACCCATTTTTCCGTCCTGTGCCATGCTGGGATCTCGCTGTAGCAGCTTCATCTCCAGGAAATGGACTGCCAACTGG